TACTAATTTTCAACGATTTAATGACGGCAAAGATTTCACTAGCCGTTAGAGTACTTCCCGCTGTAGAATACAAATGCAATGCAATTATCATCATGCAGAGAGGACTTTGGCGAAGCGGAATCCCAAGGACCGGAAGAAGGTTTGTCATCAGATTCCTCAATTTATTTAATCGACCAGTATTGAACAGTTACGCAGATTGTAGAGGTCACAACACTTCCTTATTTCCTCTATCATTCGTGCTTTCCTCTGCTGCGCTGATAACTGTAATCCAAGAATGTAGTGTTCCCATCGCTGTCGATTTGGAGGGCGACACAACGGCCTTTGCCTATCCGACTGTACCACTCGACAGTAGTAGTTGTCCATGGACGATCATTAAACGGACCTGCGTACCCATCATATCGCATGCTTTTACCCTGCGTTCGACAATGGCATCTTTCACCTCGGTATGTTGCCCTCCGTCTGCACTGAGGGCATGTTTGCAGAGCGAAATTCTCAGCATTCTTCGTCCTGTGGCTCCTTTGGTGACAGACAGAGAGTTTTTCTCACCTTTCGTCAGCGACCTTCTTCGCAGTTAGGCAGCATCCCCGCAACACGATGGTGTTGAAGAAATAGACCCGTGTTTGTCTGTATGTCATTTCAGGTAGGATATCCTCAACATAATAGATCTCCCGTCAATCTGCTTGTCTTCCACGTAGATTTCGTTCTTATGAACCTGCTGCACGCTAACCTCCTCACCCAAATAGATAAAAATTCAACTTCTTACATACCTTCCTCATAATTTCCTATTTAGGGCTTCTGCAGGGTATCAGATGGCATGTACTTTATTTTTCACAAGGCGAAGCTCGTAGTCAATTTTGCTCTTAGCTGCCAAGCGAGTACTCGCCAAGTTTCCGTCTTTTCTGTCTTCGTCTTGAACCAGACTGCCATGAACATGAACATGTCAGCTATGTTTCTCCTCTTGAATAACTCTCAAATGCCATATTACTTCCTGTACTTCCGGGTTTTCGCGAAAACGTATCCCAGAGTGATGGAGTATGTATGCATATAAATTTTTGAGTAAGTACTTTTCCAAGTTTTTGTGGAACTCATCTACGGCGTTGTATTTGCCTTTACTGGTGGAAACGTAGATGTGTATAATTTTTAGGTTGCGGTTCCCGGTAAGTTGTAGAGAGCGCTCAAGGCGCAAATGAATGTAGATGCCAGGAGTTGGTTATTGAACATTGTTTTTTGCTGATGGTAAAAAAGAGATCAGCAGATCGCAAGTTGTATTGAACTTCCCTCGATTTAGACCGCTAATCCATGATTCATCGTGAATCCTACAGTCGTCGATGCACACCGCGAGGAAAGCCCTTGTAAGTTCTCATTTCAGCGGCCTGACTCCTCATATTTTTAGAAAGTTCTCGTCAGCAGAGCGATGTGAGGGTGTGTTTCCAAGAGTATTAAGTTAACCGCTGTCTGGACTAGCAGTGGTATGTCGAATGTTCAAACATGGCTGATTTCTAGCCTCAAAATGGGACTTCAGATCGGCGGTGGGCTAATGGCCTGATATATGAAAAGCATGGTTGAACCTTAATGAGGATATACTCCAGTATGTTCGCTGTCAAGCAGTTAAGGACACCGTTGTCGTCATGTGCTTTTCAATATAAAGTGTGAAAGGTGGTCCCTGGTTGATTCAGTATCGTAGGTTCTACCACATTATCCTGCATTTAAATAAACGTCCTGTGACCAGTAGCTTCATGGAAAAGGTCGATTGTCCTCCGCTGATGATTCTGTTGAATGTCGGATCGGTCTTTCAGAGTTTGTAGCGTTCTTTTAACGTGCTTCCATTGGATGGTATATTAAATGATTTATACACTTAATAGTGACAGAAAATAATGATGCAATGAAGAACGTTACGCCTAACGCTAAACTGTTAACCAAGAGTTCCTGTCATATAGTATGTTTTGTCGCAAAGAAGTTCTTTCATATGCATTATGAAACTGATACATGATTTTGCTGCAGTAATCAGTATCTTGATGAAACTAGTAAGTTGTCAGTTGGTTGAAAATCTGACTGGACAAAGCGGTGGCATCCACCGGTAACCGGAAAACGTGCAAATGAATTTGTATAACGCAGTAGAGTGATGGAAGCCAGTTTCAATTTTGTGCAATTGTGTCATTTTTTTAGTGAATTGCTCACTCAGTGACTTACTATCAGGTGAGTCAAGGTGGATTGCAAGTTTAAAGCATGTGCATAAAATAACAATGTCGCGTGTCATGTTAAGATCACATTACAACACCACGTTGTTCGTATTATTAGTAGTTCAATGTCTTGTTATCCGTTTGTCAGCGGCTATAGCGCAATAGGGTTTACGAGAATTAACGGTTAACATGCAAAATTTATTACGTACCTCAAAAATGCAGTCACTTGAAGTCTGTTGCTAGTTAATAACTACTATTCAGTCATTTTCCATTTCTGAACTTTCATATTTATGAATAAAGCCGATGAACACCATCCATTACGTCCTGAGCATCATTTGTATTGAAAGCAACTCTCTCTGCTTAGAATTTCTAGGAAGACAAATATTTCGTTCCGTTTCCAATTAACCGAAGCGATGATTAAACGGTTGAGAGATTTTCTCATCCCTTCAAAGCAGATTTGTCCAAGAGAACGAGATGTCGAATACCAAATACCAACCCGGTCAGAAGAATTGCAACCGTTTTTTCTAAGACCGTCACAAATGCACGTATTTACAAATGCCGCAATTACAAGTGCCATATTAACTATTAATTAACTAAACGTCTTGGTATCTCTTCAACGCACCGTCAGAGACAGGAATTTCTTATTTTGGGATATAGAGCAGGAGCCCTCGCTACTTTCTGATATTTGGCACGCAGCAAAACAATCACTTTTCAGGGGCGATGAATTCAGAATTTTGCTATTGTCGTTATTTGCTCAAGTCTTCGTGAGGTCGTCACCTCCGTTGAAGCGGTTTTCAGCTCATTGACATCAAATATGTCGTATCATTGTCGAAAATTATGAAGCTGCTTATAATTATGGCTCCAGAGAACATTGGACGAGACTTGGAGAAATTTAGTCTCAATTCTTGTGAAACCACCTTCTGTAATGCTTTCTTCGCGGTAGCCTTAAAATGGAAAGTTTAGGAGTTTCATCTACTCGAAACACATCACAGTGGAGACACGAAGATGCATTCATTGAAACCTTTTTTGCCATTGAACTGTGTACCACTAGCAGTGTTGATAACAGACCACCCATGTTGGTGCCTTAATTGATTATTAGTATGACGATTTAATTGGAAGTTAACGAGGAGGCCATCAAGTATATGTGATATTTCATATAAGGTTATAGAATAATCACGTACGTGAGCGTGATTTCCTCCAGCGTATTAGTGGTTCAATTGATAATCCTTATCGTGCATATAAAAGCCAACGTATCGTTGTCGTCCGTTAGTTTAGTGACAAGCCGATCCCGTTTACGTAGGGTCAAATTCAAACTGTAACTGAAAGTAATTATGCCATGAATATACAGGTGTCTGACATTCTACAGACTCACTGTTCACTCGTTATGTACCTATCACGGAATTTTATGGCGGTATCTCACAAAACGCAAAAATATGAACGTGACTGCATTGTGTAGAATGACTGATTGCGTAGGATTTGAAATATGAAAATAAGTAAGTCAAGCAGTTGTGATGAACGCTCATTTTTTCGAGTAGTAGAGGCAGCAGTTCTTGCAATGATTGAATATTAGCATCTGAACTTCGAGAAGACAAAATCCGAGTCTGAAGTAGAGTTTAGAAGTAGCGGCTGTAAACTGAGGCCCTCTTGAATATCTGGCCTCGAACCACCTCAAGTCGCATTAGCCCAGCATTTCGTCTCAGAAAGCCCGTTTCAGCCGCATGTATCTGGAACCGATGTTTTCGGAAAGATTTGAGTACAGAGAGACTCAAACTCAGATGTGCCTTAGTCCAACAGTTCAGGCTAGTTTACATGGATCATTTGAAAAATGACCAATAATGGTACTTTTGCAAATTGCAGTACTTTTAGATTGCAGTCTATTTGAAAAATGAAAACCTAGTCATACAGTTTCTACTCGCCCTTGTCTTGTAAACGCTTTGGTCTATGAGATTTTATCAGGTTATCCGCTGTGATAAGCTCGTCTGCGTGGCAAATTCAGTCCGAGAAAGAACGATGGTTCGCCGACTACGTAGACGAATGACATGACAAAATTTATTGGTTAAATGTAAATCAAAAAATTAAAAAAATATACTTGAATGGCTAACATCGGTAAAATCCGGCCTAATGACGTTGCTTAGACTCACGCATTATATTTAGATCTGCAGATCATAGATATATAACAGCATTAATCACTGCACAATTCAGATCAGTGTTGCAACTTAAAGCCGCTTTTTTTGCTTCCAGAGAGCTTCCATTGACAGACTGTTTATAGATAGAAAAGCGGAAGGACCCGGCTGACCTTTTCTCGTTTGAAGTTGAACTGCAGGTTTTGAAAAACCTGACTCGTAGCAGAACGAACTATACCAGTCAGCTGATTTGCAGCGGAGAGATGCCGTACTATGGCTACATAGTCATGCCCATTGTTGGCAAAGATATCGAATCACTGCTTGCGTCGTTGAGGCCGAAGCATGGAGAACACAACACGCGATTTACCCTTGTCACCGCCGTCCATGTCGCACTTGGATGCCTCAAAGGACTAGAAGAGCTGCATAAAATTAGGTATGGTTAAAAGTTTAAACGTACCACGCACAGACACAACAAACGAAAATGTGAAAAACATGGCCGGTGACCAGAAATGTCGAAATTTTGGTTGTTTTCTCTCTGAAGCAACAATGGCCTATTTCAATCCTAGTCGGTACTCCCACGCGTAATGCTCTCAAATTTAACTCTCGTTAAATCAGTCAAATATTTAGTACATTAGCATAGTCGTGAAGGTAGAAATTAGTAGAAGAAACAAAGCTAGGGCAAAACATTTGTTTCAACTGACAGGTTTCGAACAGTCCTTCTGCCGATCAATGTATGTCTGCTTTCCGTGATTCGAAGAGTTTTAAAATAGGTGCACTTTTAATAGCGTTGAAATGAATCAACAAAATATTAGAGGATGTTTTCAAACATGTAGCTTGCGATCTAAACGTAGCAGTCAAAAATTTATTAAGAACCGGATATTCATTAGGCGTTAGAAACTTCGTCGAACGAGAATCAAATGCTCTCAGCAGCAGCATGCAGCGAAGCAATGATTTCTTAACAATGGCACATTGCTTCTCCCAACTGCTAGATACTAGCTTTATGGAGGTTTGTTCTATTGCTGTTGATCTGATTTCATTTTTCATTCATGCATCGTTTCAGAGAAGCAGATCAGGTAGTCAGATCTGATATTTAAGTTCGCGGCTTTTATTAAATTGCAAAGTATGGAAAGCAAGAATGACAGATTGTGTGACATCATGATAGATTGGTACAGTTAGGGTTCTCAAGTGCTTGCATAAAATATTTCGTTAGCGCTAACCAATATCACGTTATCAAAGTAACCCATGGCTTCAACCACAACTGATTCAAGAAAAAGCATTGAGAAGTTTCCGTTTACTTTGGTAGGGGCCCTAGATAAATTGGCTCAATTTGCGATCCTGTATTTATGAAATATCTCCTGACAAAAATTCGCTTCATATTTTAAAGGAATCATTTGTTTTCTGGTACCTGTTTGCTGGCCGACTCGAGCCACACCGTTATTATTCTAAAATGCAACCAGTACTTGAAAAAAGTTGTCAAAAATCACTCAGATAACACGTTCTTTACTTCTTTGGAGAAAGCCTTGAAACCAAAATGGAAAAAAGTATCTTTCCTACTGATTTGCATGCAACTCAGGAGAGGTGCATTGGATGCATATATGCCAAACCAGCTTACCTCATTGACACTTACAGGAGGGGAGCCTCAAATGAATCTGAAAAGCTTCCCCTCTAGACTAGACGATCACAATAGTTATTATCAAAACAAATAGTATGGCCTAAAGGAAATTTGAAATGGAATGTTTTGGTGAAACCAATGTGCTGGCGGTTAAAGCGGTAGGTAAGGACGTCAAGATTCGATTGTATTCAAACCTACCGCTTCTGCGCCTGGTTATCTAGTATTTGCAGCTTACATTATTGGCAACATCAATGTGAAAGTCTCCTATTAGATTATTTCGCGACGAGAATGGATTGAGACGCATAGCAAATCAAGACAAAAACCAAAAACAACGTGTTGGAGCTGATTTACTGTGCAATTAAAGAAATTCACATCTGTTGATTCAAACCATAGGCAAGACACTAATAGAGTTCTTCAGAGATTTACTAAGAGCACGTTGTATGTTTCCAACCATCATCCTTTTTAGACAGGCACACTTAAGACGTCACATGAATTTATAAGTGGTAAAATTTAATCATCTGAGATGTCAAAAATGATGAATACCATAGAAACATTTAACTTCTGAAAATCATACTCGTATGATTGAAGTTTGGACAAACTTAGTTATGATTTCAACGTGGCGAACATTATATTAATTTCCATGTTAGAGCTCAGAACACGAACCTTGTTTGACTGAAATATGAATTGTGCGAATTAATGTTCTTCCTACCGCGTTTAGTGTAGTGAAATGCACTGTTGGAGTCAAGAGCCCGTGAAACCGTCTGTGCTACAACATATCTTCCCTCACTCCTCGAATTTTGATATCCCTCCATACGACATCGAAGCAACTTTTCACTCGCCTTCTTTGTTTTTCCTACTTCGACAGTCTGTTACATTTCTTAAATATTAATCCGACTTTCTTTTCGCATTTCTGAATTTTTTCTCCTTCGATGAACGTTTCTGTAATTGCTACTAAACTCTGTATGCCCATACTGACCGGAACATAGCCCTTCCTGAAGATTCCAAGGATTCACCTCAACATTCTCATTCTGACAGCTTTCAGTCGCTCAAGGGCTATTCTACAACAGCTCATACATTTCTTTATTTGGCAGTGATGCATGCCGGGTTCAAAATGCCTGAAATCTTATGTTTTACAAATCTCATCGCCGGCCACAGTCAAAAGCACTTGAGCGAAGCTTGCCCTTTTCCGGCTTAAATAACCGACAATGTATCCAAACGGTGGTTGCAACCGAACCGAAGCCCTCTTTCATTAGCTCTGTCGTTTTCACTAGATCGCACATGTCTTGTCTAAGCTAATTGCACTTTCCTGCCGCTACCCTGTTTGTCATGCTCCACCATACTGTCCGCAGCAGTTTCCGATAATATGCTTTATGCAGGTGATCTGCAGGTTGTTGTGTATATATAAACAATTGATTTTAATGTAGATATGACGTATGTTATTGATTTTCAAGGTTTTAAGCTAAACTGGGTAACGGCGATGCCAACTTTGCTTTCTCGATATTCTGTCTCCTTCCCGTTCATGCAGTTAATCGCTGAGACTTGACACTTTTTTCCGGTTAATTTTAGCAGTCCCTTGCATTCGCCCTCCTTTTGTACACTGATATGAGCATACTTCACTTCCGCAATTACGGTGCCTTTTCAAGTACCATAATTTTCCTCAGCTGTGAATAAAGA